AAATATAATTAAGATAATTATTGACTTTTAACAAAATACTGAATTATTATCTTTATAAAAAAAAATATTGTTAAACCTAAATTAAATTATTTCGTTACTAAATTTAAATTAAATTAAATAAAAAAATTTGAATTGAAGAAAATTACACAGAAAACAAAAAAATTTAAATAGTTAATTTGATGTTAATATCGATATACCTTTTTTCAAATTTTTATGTTATTTTTTAAAATTTATATTTTATTTAAAAATAAAAACAATTATCGTTTTCTCAAAACCACATAAAAACGTATTATATCAACATAAAAAAAACAAAATATTGAAATCGAGATGTGTTTCGATATATTGCACGAATACCCTTCTATTTGGATTTTTTTTAAATCGACTTATTAAATATTAAGTAATAATCTTTTTTAATTTATTATTGTATATGTATATCTTTTTAATTTATTAATTAATAATCTTTTTTAATTTCAAATCTATTATTGTATTTGTATATCTTTTTAAAATTTCATGTTGCAATCAGTAGTTGATCCAAAAACTTTGGTGACTAAAGATTTTAAGGGTATAAAAAATTGAAAATCGAATAACTCACCTAAACTAAAACGGTTTTAAGTTATTCGGTTTTACGGGTTAACCGAATAACGTAAGTTTTGATTTCGATAATAATTTTTAGCATATTGGTTAACTGAACAGCAAATTATACTATTATTTAATTTTTAATTTATATAGTTTCCTTCTTGATGAATCGGTCTGAGCATATTTAAAATTAACATTATGTGAAATGATTTATCTTTAAACTAAAAAAACAAGAAATCAAGATATATTTAACAAAATCATCAACCAATGTTATCATTATAGCATGATTATAAGAATTAGCTATAACAAAACAATCAATGTATGAGGGGAATGAATATCGAGCGAAGTAGTAGGAGGTTTCATCAAAACGAACTGGATCACAGCGGGAACAGTCTATTGAAATATATGATAACTGTTGAGTACTATTAATATAATATAATACTCTGTAAATTTCGGATTTTTCTACTTAGAGTTCTATTGTTTTTTCTTTGTTGTGCTTCGACCGTTCCTCGGTCATTTTCCCCGTCGTTCTCTGACCTTTTTTCCGGTTTTCTTCGACCGTTTTCCCGGCTGTTCTTCGACAGATTTTCTAGTTGTTCTCCGACTGATCCTCAAAAATTATGGGTGTTACAATCCTCTCAACCTTAAAGGAGATTGCGTACTCGAAATCTGGTACTGGCAAATACTTGAACCAAAGGAGACGCATGATGCGTTTCAAGAATGCCACACCATCTGGAGTGCAAATCTGATAGATGACTCGTCATTCGTGCTTTGCTAAAGGGATAATGACTGGAGAATGAAAACGTCAATTACCCTCAAATTCATCAACCAGGTGACGCTTCTTCCAAGTGAGTGTCTCTAACATAGCTTAACCTCAAATAAGGACCTGATTACCGTATAGTCAAAACTGTCACGTTGATTCTCACGATGAACAACACCAAACCCGACCTCAACCTTCGATACCTTACACCACTACCGAGGGTGGACATTGAAACTTATTGGAATAATTCCTAACAGTTGGATCGTGTTTGCCTCCCAACCTTAGGTGACTCACACTACTTCAAAAGTAGTTTCGGACCACTGCTTACTTCCACAAATATTGTCTAAATGAATTTATTCTTAAATGCTTCTAATCACCCTTTGTCGAAAAGCGTTACACTCCTCTCTTGCCTTCAAAACTACGACGATATTTGCAAAAACTAATCCAACCATAAATTGGTCATACTCATTTCAATTCAGATACCCACAACCGTGTTGATTTTAGTCTTTTACCCTCGTGATAAAGGAATCCACATAAGCATTGATTAATGAGTTTTCATCACGACACATGGTGGGTTTTAGGAAAGATGTTACATTTATACTAAATACATTTCATTTTAAAAATGGTGATTTAAATAGAAGTTTTTCAGTTTTATCATTTTATATTAATGATGAAAACTGTTTGAACTTATTAAGCGTTAAGTCCAACATTTTTTCTATTGGTGTGTGCATCAAGTCCTTGTTGGAGAATGATACTAACGACACTGTGATTAGTCGAATACTAGTTAGAGGCACGAGAATGAATTGGCTATATAGGGACGTCTTTCATACTTTGGAGATATCAACAGTTCATTGGTTTTAGTAACACCTGTTTTTAACTTAATGCGCGTATGAGGTTTGATTTGGCAGTTTTCTGACTTTTAATTTGCTTTTACCTTGTAAGTAACTCATTGATTCTCTTTGAAATTAATTTGGAGTAAACTTAGTGTTAAATAAAAATTTCAAATCAGTCGTTTTTTTTTCCTGAATTTGGGGTGTTACACAATTTCCTTATTGAAGTAGAAAATCGAATTTTATGTTTGCATGTATATGGTTAGATATGTTAAACTGTGCTTTCTTTTTGGAAATACAGGTCTCATAAAAAAATCCATTATACGAAAAGCTTACTGTACCGTTTTCTTAATCAAACTGTATAAGACATATTTTAAGCTAAAAATTCTAATCGAACCATAACTAGTTTATGTATTAATGATTTGTAATTAATGTTTCATAGATTTCATACTCTTGAAATTTAAGGTCGTATTTGGTTTATCAATTACGACGGGATCTAAATGAATTCAATGCAAATTTTATTCTTTCGTTTGGTTCATTATTTAGGTTTAGTGACAAAAGGACGTTCGTTTCCTTGCAATCTATTGCAAAAAGACATAATAGCCTCATGTCTTCCCCGCCCTCCCCCTTCTTAATCATCTTCAGGCCGGCCACCATTGTCCTTCCCCATCCTCATATGCCATTAACCGTCTTGAGCACTGTTGTCAACCCCGTCATGATTTTCCTCTCCGCCTACAACCCCATCAATTTCCACCGTTTGAAAACCATTTATTTACATAAACAGGGGAACACAGACCTGCAGCCCTCTCTATCTCTACCGGTTCAAAAACACATCATTTATAGGAACCGGTGAACGCATAAAACCAGCAACCCTTTCTATCTCTATCCCTCGAAAACCCATCATCTCGATTTGCATCACACTCTATCGTCGTTTGTCGTTTAAACAACTCTATTGCTACTCGACTCTCCCATGGATTTCTTCGTCTACTGCAAACTAGTCGGACCAAATGGCCGATTATAATTTATTTGATATATTTCATCCCAATTTTTATCAATCAAACCTAATTAAATTTCATTTTTAGTTAATTCAGTTTTCAATCTTTTTTTTAACATATTTCAATTCATTTAAAATACATCATATAAACCAAAATACCACCTAAAAAATTCAATTAAATATTTTACAAGATAATTTAGATAATGCAAGCTTTTCCAATCTACCTGTTTTCTCATCCTATGTTATATATATATATATATATATATATATATATATATATATATACTTGGAATCATGTGAGACAAAATATTTTTCTTGAGACCCGTAAGACCAATTCTCAACCCTTAGATTAGATCTACAATCTGAACATTCATAATCACAACCGTGCAACTTTAAACCATTAGATTATTAGTTTATAAAATTGATCCATGAACATAAATTGATTTTACGGGTTTTACAAAAAACCTTGAGTTTCACGTGAACCCAACCCAACCCAACCCTATATATATATATATATATATATATATATATATATATATATATATATATATATAATGGTGACAAAAATAAAGTGGGGTTGGGGGAGAAGGAGGATAGGTTAGGATTGGGTGGAAGAAGGAAAATAAATAGTTGAATTTTAGATCCCTCTTCTACAGCTGTCCACCATTGCTTGCTTACCCAACTCCCCCTGCCACCCAATCACACCCCTTTTTCTTTTTTCTTTTTTATAATTATTTTCTTAATTAAATTCCACCCCCCTTTTATTTAATTATTCAAATAAATACCACTCAAAACCTACACCAACTACAACAGGACAAGACTTGTATATTGGATTCCTTTCTCTTTAAACTTTGGCTAAATTACATATTTGGCCCCTCAACTATATTTCCATTTCATTTTATTCACATTATTCTTTTCTTTCTCTTATCATAGAAATACATGATTATTATATTTCTGACTTTTTAATATAATTTAATAATTTTTAAATTATTTTTTATTCAAACATTTACTCGTATGAAGTAAATTTGTCGTAAGGAAAATTTATTCCTTTTAATTGTTATTTTGACACTTAACATTGTTTAACTTTTATGTGTTTTAATTATTTTATAAGCAATACATATAATATAATATTGTTTCTTATGCTTTTTTTCTATTTTTTTATGAGAATACTGTTTGTTTAGAATTACTAAATGGGTATTTTAAATAATATTTAGAAATACATAAAACAGTTTTCAATTTCATCTAAAGCTCACAAATCGGGTCTTCCAGTTACGTATTTGACAAGGATGTCATGATCAAGGAGCAATGTTGTAATCCTTTTCTAGATTGCGTAGATGCAAGCATAATAAAACAACCACATGCCTTTCATGGATGTACTTACAGCTTGCTTTCGGCAAGAATATTATTGCTTCTAAACATCCTATTCGAGACCCTACTCAACGTACTTACAACTCAGCATTTCTATCACCATAACTGTTTTTATGATTCTTGGATTGCGTCAATACCCATTTTCCAATTTTCAATACTACTGTTGGTTATACATATCTAACTATTTTAAGCAACATGAGTAATTATTCACTTAATATATATCCAGTATTACAATTATTGATCTGCTTTTTCAAGATTTAATTAAAGCATGCGCATAAACAGTCATCGGACGACATGGATTTGAACCTCCACTATCATAAAAGAAAGAAACAAGATGGACTAATTTAGCCTTTTGGGTTTGGATCATATTCCAAGGGAGATGTATCTTTGAATTTGGTGATTCAAAAAAGTGAATTAAGGGATCTAAATTGAAAGAAATTATGGTTTTTTGGTCCATTAGTGTAAAAAGCCAATTTTTTGGGATCCATTTCACTTCTGCAGATATAAATAGATTCCATCAAAGCGCTGGCATCTCTGTTTGCATACGTGCACCCAGCTCATTCTTGCACGCATGTCCATGCATATTTTTAATTCTATGCTATTCTCCCCGCAATTTCCAGCTGTTCTCTCTCATCCCACCTTCTCCCTCTTTCTCTCTCTATATCTATATATCTGTATCTATATGTGTTATTATATTAGTAAGTGTATATATATACGAGCACTTGCTTTCTGAGTTTCTTAGTTGGTTCCCTATTGATTCCTGAATTTCTTGGGAAAGTACAGTGATTGTGGGAGAAGGGAAAGATTTCTTGAAGTTTTTGGTTGATTATAACGGAAGGACTCGATGGATCCGTGTCCTTTCGTGCGACTAGTAGTCGGAAGTTTAAGTTTGAGGTTTTCAGGCGGTGGCGCCGGTAATCCTCCGCCGCCGAGTTGTTATTGCAAGATTAAGCTCAAGAACTTCACTACCCAGATGGCTGATATCGGTTATTGTGCAGAAAGTGATGTGAATCAAGTAAACGATCAAGTTCAGGCTTGCTTCAATTTCAAGAAATTGGAGTTCGATAAGGTGGTGGAGAAATCAAACGGGTTGAAGATCGAGGTTTATTCGGGTGGGAAAGGGAATCCGATTTGTGGAGTTGGGTCGGGTAAGCTTATTGGTGTTGTATCGGTGGGTTTGGATTCGAAGGTGGTTGATAATGGTGGTAATAACTGGGGTTGTGTGGTGGTTCAGAACGGTTGGGTGGTCGTTGGGGATGGGAGCTCCAAGAAATCGGTTCAATTGCATTTGAATGTGCGGGTGGAGCCTGACCCAAGATTCGTTTTCGAGTTTGATGGTGAACCTGAGTGTAGCCCACAAGTGTTTCAAGTCAACGGGAACGTTCGGCAGGCTGTTTTTACTTGCAAATTCAGTTTCAGAAATTCCGGCGACCGGAATTTGAGATCTGGGTAAGTTACTTCTCCATTTCTCTGAATCGGTTAAGGTGTTCGGCCTATTGTCTGAAAGAACGAAATAGTTTCTTTCATGGAACTTGAATCATTTTCTTACAAAATGTTTGATTGATGTGTTAACAGATCTTCAATCTCGGAAGCAAACAACTCCGGAAACTGGTTAAGATCAGTGAGAAATGATAAAGAAAAACCTGTAAAAGAACGAAAAGGGTGGTCGATTACAATCCATGATCTCTCCGGTTCACCAGTAGCCATGGCGTCAATGGTGACACCGTTTGTTCCATCACACGGAACCGACGATGTCCGTCGGTCCAACCCAGGTGCATGGCTGATCCTTCGGCCTGGTCAAAGCACATGGAAGCCATGGGGCCGTCTAGAAGCATGGAGGGAGTCCACCGGCGGTAACCACCTCGGCTACCGTTTCGAGCTACTACCAGACGCAGCCGTCGGCGGCCTTGACCCTATCACTCTCTCAAACTCCACCATCAGTTCCAAACACGGCGGAAAATTCACCATCGACATCGGTAACGGAGCTTCACCCATGACCACCCCAAGCGGTAGCTTCGACTCCGGTTCCGGGTCAGACTTCTGGTCCGGGTCATGGGCACACTTAATGTACCAAGGTTTTGTGATGTCATCAAAGGTGGCTGGTGGAGGGCGGTGTAGCAGACCGGAGGTGGAGATCGGAGTTCAGCACGTGACATGCACGGAGGATGCGGCGGCGTTCGTTGCATTGGCTGCTGCCGTGGATTTAAGCGTGGACGCCTGCCGGCCGTTCTCTAGAAAGCTCCGGAAGGAGCTGAGACACGACGGAGAATAGTCGCCGGAGTTATTTATTGGTTCATTTTTAATTTAAAAATTGAGTGGAGGATCTTTTTTGTTTTCTTTATTTTCCAGAACACAGAGTGTACAGCGGCGATTTCTTTTTCCTTTTTTTCTTTGGGTGATTAATGCATTGTACAGTTGTTATAATATTATATTATGATTTTGTGATGATATCGGATCTGATCTGCACATGGTTTATGGATCTTAATATGGTAATAAGGACTCGTTTAGTAAACGTTTATCAACTCACTTTATTTTACCTGTTGAATATGATAAGAACGAAAATTCTTATTCAGTAAGAGCGAAGACAAGAATCGAGGGTCTTACCCGGTAAGTGAGAACGATGACTCTTACCATGGTTAGCACTTATCGGGATAAATTGTTGCATACGATGCATTTTAGTGAATAAAAATCTTACCTGGTAAGTAAACGATAGTGTTGAATAGTGTTTAGGTAAACGGCCTCTAAGTCTCCAACGTTTCAGAACTTTCATGTGAAATTGCATGTCGTCTTGATCCGCATATGAACTCGAAATTGATAAGTTTTTCTCTATCAATGTAGTTTTCTATGATGCTCGATATTTTTTTTAACAAATAAACGAACAAGTGTTATCGTTCTATTGGCTGTGCTAAAGATTCATATCATGGATTTAAAATGTAGTTTTCAGTAATTCAATTATTAAACTTGTTTCTACGGTGTTTAAAGTCTGCTGCTTTACATTTATGTAAAACTGCTACGTTTTGTAAGATCTTCTTATTACTATTCTAAAAGGTCAGACATGTATTGGATGTTTTTATTATGATAATCATAGTTTTGAGAGACTATTTTGATCGATCAGTAAAAAATAGTTTAAACAATTTATTACAAAAAAAAAACAAATATTTTAACGTCCTTTTCTAATTCTAACTAACTAAATTCTTTTTTTACGAAAGTCTAGAGAGACAGCCTATGAAACAAAACCTCATAGTGAAATAGAAGACAACCCATTTTGTCGAACTCTTTCGTCATGAACTGAGAGTGGGGGAAGTGGTTGAGAATGAAGCGTTGGGATAGTAACTGATACGGGTGAGCCATTCGGCTGGCCATCTTATAGTTTGGTTTCTGTGTTGTGTTGTCTTTTGTTAACCAGCCATCCTTTTCTCTCTATTGTCTCAATTCCATTGAATTGCCAACAGAATAACGCATAAATGTAGTTGTTGAATATCGAAGTCCTTTTCTTTGGACAAATCGACAAATGCATACGTCCAAATTCTTTGATGCTAATTATGACATATTTAAGTAACAACTGTTATTCAATCCTAATCACTTATAGGAACAGAGAATGACCCTAATGGTTGTTTTATCTAACCTAGTACTTTCCAATCTAAATCGACGTAGATGTTTATGTTTTGGATTTCGATACTTGATTATTAAATAGTTATCACGCTAGAGTCAAATGTGGTGTTAAACTGCTATAAAACTTTAAAACCTTTCGTTAATTATACGTTAAACGTCAAATTTCGTTCTTTTTTCAAACGAGAACGAATGAAGTGTTTTTTTATGAGAAAGAATTGCACAATCAGTACCTTTTCTATTACCATCAACATTAGAAAGTGTGTTGGTCTTTTCTTGGACTTTTTCCTGTTCTTAATACCAAGTTGTTACAATATTAAAGAGTCACAGATGAATGTGTTGGAGTCGTGCTATACAACTGCTCAGATAGTTCATTCAGCAATACCAGGAAGAACAAGTCTATTCCTTATTCGTTAAATAATAAGTCAATAATAACCAATTCTTCATCACATATTATCGGATAACGTATGTTTAGATGGGGTTTGGATTTGTCTTTAATCCCGTTTTTAAGACTTTTATCATCGTGGTTGTTAACATGCTCTCAGTTATCACGAAAACCCATTTACCAAATAAAATAATCCGTTAAAAGATAAATAAAAATTCATATAAAAAATGGAAACGGTATATAGATCAAAAGCTATTAATATCGACTCACTATCCTACTACACTTTTGGCAGCCAACATTCCACAAGAGACCACAAGTTCTGAAGGAAGAAAACAAAGTGGAAATAAGAATTACAACTTCAAAATTAATACAAAAACCATCTTCTTCTTCTTCTTCTTTCATTCTGCAGCAGTATCTTCACTGTTGCCGCCCTCCGTTTCGATCTCTGGCAACGTCTCTAGATCTGTGCGCACCTCTTTCTCCTCTGAATGTGATGGATCATCGGTCTCTAGATCTGTGCGCACCTCTTTCTCCTCTGAACGTGATGGATCATCGGTCTCATTTTGATCCAATTCTTCGGGTTTTGTTTCATATGATTCCAGAGTCTCTTCCGTTCCATCCTTATTCTCCAAATTCTCACCTTCACCTGCATCATTTTCGACCTCTGTTTTTGAGATATTCGATTCATTAGACTTCAAAACCTCTAAAATATAATCCGTGACTCCATCTGTGACATTTTGAGATTGAGTTGAATCAGTTGTGGTCACTGTGGTATTTGAAGGAGGTTCGTTTTCATGGGCATCTATGGATTTTGTAGAATTCAAGGAGGTAAGAGTCGATTCTGAGCTGATTTCTTGAATCATTGTGGTATTCGAAGGAGCTCCGTTTTTGGCTGTTTGATCTTTATCTACTAGACCAACGTTCCCATTCGAGTTATCTGAAGTTCCATTCCCGTTTTCGTTTGTAACTGCGCTAGAGGCATCATCTGCTTTGTAGTGTTCTTCGCGTGCTTCGTTGGTATGAATGGTGGATCCATCTTCACCATGATCATCTAAAGAATCCGTGTTTTCCATCTGATTTTGTCCATCTTTTTCTTCGTTTTCCTTCTCTTCGCTCTCTTCTATCTCCTTGTCTTCATCCACTGTATTCATCTCTTCTCGATCAATCTCCACTTTTATCTTCTCTTGCTCGTTTTCATCAATCTCATCATCCGCTCCCCCTCTTTCGTCATCTTTTTCCTCCTCGATCTTGTCTTCATCTTGATCTTCAACCTCATGCTTGTTATCCTCATGTTCTGCTTGTTCTTGCTCTTCTTCTTCTTGTTCCTGTTCTTGTTCTTCTACTTCTTCATGTATCTCAACTTCTTTGGTTTTTTCCTCTAATTTTGGCTGGAGATCTTTTCTTCCAAATTTAACGATTTCATCACTACTCTGTGTGTGCGTGCTTGATGAGATCTTCGGATCACTCGCATCAAACTCTCGCTTCTTGTCGTGGGACCTCTTGACTTGAAAGATCAACCAGAAGCATACCGCAACCAACAAACAAACTTGAAGAACATGTTTGGTCTTGATTCCTTTCGACCTCTGGTTTCTAACAGGCGAGGGTCTATACATATTGATATGATATTTCCAGATGATGGTTTACACGTGTAGAGGGAATGCTTGAAGAATAAATCAATCTGGAAACACAAAGAATGTAGTTTCATCTACTATATAACAAAATCTAAGATATAAGAGACATCAAGATTCATCGTTGGTCATTGTGGAATACTTTCTAAGGGTTAATTCAACAGGGAATGAAGCCATATTTCCAAGTTCTAAAACACCCTTTTCCCCATATAAACCAGCAAAGATAAATGATACTACTTTCCAGATTTAGAATGCATTTCAACTTGTGCAGCCAAACGGGTCTTCTGATAGAAAAACCCATTTTAAAGTTCGATTTGACGATCAAACTTATGTATTAGCCGCCCTTTTTTGGACAATTTGAAATGGTCTTCTTGTTTGTTCACCCTAAATCAGAACATATCTACATCAGCATTGGATCCTACAATGTCACATTCGCCCACAAAGGTCAAACATACCCCTAAAAATCTGGGATGGAGAGAATAAAAGTGTATACAGAAATCAATCACTTAATGGGTGTTGGAGTCCAACTTCAACTAGACCATTTGTTCACGGTACTGAAGGACTCTTTTGGATAATAATCTAAACGGATTTCCAAATATAGTCACAATGGGTGTCCAATCAACTTAGGGTACAAGACTATGATCAGTACTTCTATTGCAAGTCAATCGATCAAATTCAGCTCAAAGAAAACAAAAACTCTTGAGTGAAAATTGGACTGAAGTTGAAGCATCCGACTTATTTTCCCCAATTTTGGGGGAAACAAGATAATAGCGATAAATCCAATACAAATTTAGAGATCATAATTAAGGAACAAAGGGAAAACCCTTTGTAACATAGAAAGAAACCCTAGAATCCCTAAATTAACTAACAAATAATGACAGAATTCACACAAACCCCGAACAAAGTAGAAAATTTTCCCCAATTAATCAATCAACTTCGAAAACCAAAATCCACGTCTCGAAACAGTTGATTACGAGCAAAAACAAAACAAAAAGATCAAATTAATCGCTTGAATATGCAATTCATGTGACCTGCTTCTATACGAGCAAATGAAACTCAATCGTAACAACATGAAAAAGCAACAACAAAAGAAGAATACCTGGAGATTGAAAGTCCAAACCAACAAGCGATTGGGCGAGTAGATAGAAGAAAGTCGATTCGTTGAAAGTCAAAGGTGGGTTTTGGACATTTGAGTACAGCAGCTTCGACAGTAGGAGGAGCTGTGTCGTTTCAGACACACAGAATCTGTTTCTCTCTCACACACACCATTTAGCGAGTGTGTGGACTGTGGAGATGGATCTAAATCAAGAAGAAATGGAGTTCAATAATGGTGGGAGTGAAGAACAGCCAGGCTTTTGGGAGTAGTAACATTTACCATAAACGGTGTTTTGGGGGGGGGGGGGGTGGTTTCTTATTTTCGACTTTCTTATGTTAACAATCCTTTTTTAGTTAACAATCAATTCATTCATTTTTATAAGTAACCGGTCTTTGGGATTACTTATAAAAACAATTTATTGACTTATTTGAGTGTGTCATTTTAAACCTCGATGTCATTTCTAATTCATGGGTTTGAATATATCATTACATACAGTTGAATGAGGCGATTAATAACACAAAAAGAGGTGGAATTTAAATCATTTCATTCAACAATGAGAGAAATATGTAAACTTAGTTTGTCAGTTTTATAAACCAGATGAAATCATCGGGAATCAATATGAGAGAAAAAGAATGGAGTTGAACAAATGATATCATTTTAAACGGAATCGGCATAAGAAATGATTTTTATTTTTGGTGGAACGTGCAAGCAACGTGATGATTTTTTTTTACCTTTTATCATTCAGTTTTTTTATCCATCACTGTATCTCACGATAATTCCATCTGCGAAATGGTTCGACTGTTTTACTTGTTTCTCTTCATTCTTCCCAAAACGTGAATATAACTCTTCCCCACATTTACCCTTTTTATTTTATTTTATTAATCTGGATATCCAACCCGTTATGCGAGACGACTAATCCTAAGACGACCACCTGCTTTGCAGATAGCCTGGAGTCTTCGCATTTGAACCTCCATGGCTACAAAGAGATTTTTATTCATCCTTGGATTTGAACCTGAGACCTCCTGTTACTTTTGACCTTTGGAGCCAAGCTCAAACCAATCAGACACCATCATTCTAGTTCACATTTACCCCTTTATTCTCGATGTTAACGGAACATGATAATTGATTCTTTTTCTATTCTTAGATTTCTTTTCCACTTAATCCCACACACCCTTAACGACATGTAAACATTTGTTATTAATTTTTTATAATAAAACATGTATTTCAATTCAATCAGTTCTCAATGTAATTTGATGGTCAAACCAATTGACTTTATTCGATAATGCTTAAACCAGTCTATCAAATAAATACTTTAAAAAACATCAAAACTGTATTAATTGTGTTGTTTAAAAAACGGTATTGCGGTGTTAAGTGAAGAGGTGATACCCCTCTTATTGGGCCTACGGGTGCTATTAAGCCATAACCTTTGATATTAATGTCGTCATTATTAATTCTTCTAGATTCTAAACCTTCATTCATTGAATTCGTGGTTTTACCTAATATTATTTTGTAAGTTTATACGAGTAAATTATGGATTTGGTCCATATGGTTATAAGTTTGTCTTGTATTTGGCCCCTGAAGTTTTTTATATTCCAAAATAACCTTCAGAGTTTATATTTTTGTAAAGTTTGGGTCCCTACCACTAATGGTTGTTAACTTTCATCTGTTCGGTGAGGGTATTAAACACCCCAAACAAACTCAAACCCCATTCCTACTATCCCGGTCTCTCACGTCCAACCTCACTAAACACAGTTCACGGATCTTGTGACGTACCATATGATATTTAATATTTTGATCATAAAATAATATAGTGGTCAAATTAAATAACATAAATAAAATCGCTAAAGTTGGAAATAATAATGACTAAACAGAATTGACACATATTTAATAACCGGATCATTGGTTACGGCTTAAAAACACGACCCATAACTGACGGGCCAAAAACTTGGCCCAACATACTTTTTAACCCAAAATAGCCCAAGACTATTAGGCCCAACATCGACCCAAATTCTTTCGACCTAACACACGAAAACCTAATCAAACGCGACGGTGGTCGGGAACCAGCCGTCGTCCATGGGATCCATGGGGCAAAGGAATCGCCGTCGACCATTTATCTAAGGTCGTGACCTCAGCCACCAATCAATGGCATAGCCGCAAGGTAGTAGTGGTGTGGCCACGGGACTGAAGCACGAGGGAGCCGTGTGGTAGCAGCAATGTGGCGTCAAGTGGTGGAGCAACTGCCTAGCGCCCATCGGTGATTGAATGAAATGGGATGGCGGTAGCGTCAAGTGGTGGAGCAATAACGACCTAGTTGCGATGAATGAGCGGCGCCGCGACCAAATCCTAGCCATGATGTCGACAACTAATACGGGAGGGATTCCGTTTGATTTTTATTTAATTTGATTTGATTGTTTAAATGCCAAGTTTGCTCTGATACCACTGTAGGGTTTCTAATTAACTTTGTAATCTTAAAAACGCAGCGGAAAATAATTTTAGGTTACTTATTTAGAAAGCTTTTCTAATAGAAATCCTAAGTTGAATCCAGTGACATTTAAAACAATATCTAAACAATCCAAAAGGTGTTTATAAGGTTGTCATTTTAGATCTGGTATTGTTTCTGATGGAGCACTTAGAAATCGATGTTGATTTCCTCTATCAGAGATCCACACACGAATAAGTTGTCGACTTTTACTGAGTACTAGCCCAAAAACCCTTAAATCTAATGTGCTTTTGACAAAAAAGAAAGATAAGTTCTTTTTCTATTTTTATCTGATAGCTAATGACCTAAAAGATTGAATCATCAAAAGGTTTAGGTCTATCACCTTATTTGTAGGTGCTTTGAATCATAAATAGAATATAGTTCAAAATGAGGTTTTATAATTATCTATAAATATACTTATTAATACATAAATATCTATATTTATATATAAAACCTCAAAATTATCATAATTACATTTTTAACACAAATTTACAATTATTCTTTAAATTATGTTGATTGTTAAATTGATTATTCTTGAAGAATAATTAATTTAACAATCAACATAATTTAATCCAGGTATCTGATAATAGAGGCATACATATTATTTGTGCGTGACCCTATAGATATACATAGTTATTGGCAATGTTTCTATGTGACACATGGCACGTGCATATAAAAACTTATGATAAATAAATAAGAATTTTTAACTTCTAGATAATTTTTCATAATCTTTTGATATTTGTCTTGCAGAAGCAAATCAGAAAGTAAAACCAACCGATTTGATTCGTTTTCAGTAGTTATAAGATGGTCATCTTAGTGTTATATATTTGAAATAACCAATGGTGTTAAATATGTAAAAATAGTTATACGTAATATTATATATATATATATATATAGGGTTGGGTTCACGTGAGACCAAGAGTTTTCCGTGAGACCTGTAAGACCAGTTTATGTTCATCGATCAACTTTATAAGCTAATGATCTAATGGTCTAAAGTTGCACGATGACAATTTTGTGATTATTGAAAAGTTTCGTGGCGTTTATGAATATTCAGATTATAGATCTAATCCAAGGGTTGAGAATTGGTCTTACAGGTCTCACGAAAAACCCTTGGTCTCACATGATCCCAAGTCTCTCTCTCTCTCTCTCTCTATATATATATATATATATATATATATATATATATATATATATATATGTATAACCACAGGTTATTTTGAGAAGTGGTATGAGAAGTAAAGAAATGATCATAGCCTTCATACGGTTAAGATCGGATTTGACTGGTCAAGAATTGCGGTTTTAACTAGTCAACATTTGTGGCTATGCGAAAAATAGAAAGGGTAGTTTTGTGATTTTTACAAATAGACGGCAAACAAGTTCATATGTGAATTCGTGTGATTCACATATGAACTATTTTAATTGATTTACATATGAACCATTGTAACCCATATATGAATTAATTAACTGGTTCACATATAAACCCTTATAATCCACATATGAACAAATTAACTGGTTTACATATGAATCCGTGTGATCCACATATGAACTAATTAACTGATTCACATATGAACTAATTGACTAATTCACATATGAACCCGTGGGTTCCTATGTGAATCAGTTAAATAGTTCACATGTGAACTATTAACAAGTTCACATATGAACTATAATCACATGTGAACTATTAACAAGTTCACATATGAACTATAATCACATGGGTTCACATATAAACTCATTTGCCGTCTATTTGTAAAAGTTACAAAAGTATATCTCTATCTTCTGCATATCAATGCAAGGAAGTGTTTCACAGTCAAAGCCTTAAACGTTGACTAGATGAAGGACTATGATCACTTTTTACTTCTAAAATACTCACTGCTCTCAAATGAACATTTCCCCGTGCGTGTGTGTGTGTGTATCTTTGTTTTGTAAAATTCAAAAAAATATTAAGGCTGAACCTAAACATAATAAAAACCAAAATGGATAAAATTCATAATAATGGTCTTTCTTATTTTTCGATTCATTCAAATTCCGAAATCAATTACAAATACAAAAGGGTCTTTTTTGATTGGATGGTAATGTTTTTTGATTGGATGAGAATGAATGAAAAAATCTTTGTTTTAAATCGATTCACATCGACTCCGAAAGTTGTTTTCTTTCCAAAGTTTGTGATACTTTATATAAATATAAAAAGAAACCTTGGTTTATCCCAAACACATTACTTCTTTTTAATTTAAATATAAATCCAATTTTTAGCGAAAATAAAAATATCAATGTAAAGAAAGAAGAGGATGATATATATATATATATATATATATATATATATATATATATATAAACCTCTTCTCTTCAAGGATACACCTCTGCAAATACTCTCTGGTGTTTCTATTTCCGCTTCGCCTCACTCTGTAAGAATGTTTCTTCTCTTTTTCTTTTAAATTTTCTATGTTTTAGTATTTTAATGGTTTAACGAAACCCCGAAAAATCCGCCATACCTCCCTGAATGGTATCAGAGTATGGAAAGATTCTAAGGTTTAAAAGACTGAGACATGTTCGATTTATTTTTAGTGGCTGCATAATTTGCATAAGTTCCACTTTCTTTGTCGAAAACCCGCTCAGGTGAAAATCAAATGATTTATACATGTTTTGATAAAATTTAGTAGGATAATGTTGATTTTTTGGTTGAAGAAAACCATATTTTTGTAAATAATTATGTTAAGTTTTAATTATAAAAAAGGGGATATATAAAAATCTTATAAAGGAGTTAAGGATAGGAAATTTAAAATCATTGATTCAAAAAATCTAATCAAACGCTTAGAGTTCTTAGATCTTGAAGGAAATAGTAAAAGGTCATTAGATAATTATTAGAAGCGTACTCGTGCAATGCAGCGAGATACATCGTGTTTTTAATATTTCATTTTATTTTTTTATCTCAGTCGATGTTATAATATGGCTTTATGTGATTTTGAGAAAACGATGATGTTTTTATTTTTGAATAAAATATGTTTGACGATATYATAAAAATTTGACAAAAATATATCGATATTAGTATCAAATTAACTATTTGAAATTCYTCATTTTTTTGTGTAATTTTTTAATCCAATTTTTTTATAATTTAATTTATGTACAATAACGAAGTAATTTATATTTGGTT